AAGATTATGTCCAAATAGTACTGGTAAGTATCATTACACTCGGTTAAGTGTTTTAGGTTTGAATTGTTAGCAAGATTATGTCCAAATAGTACTGGTAAGTATCATTACACTCGGTTAAGTGTTTTAGGTTTGAATTGTTAGCAAGATTATGTCCAAATAGTACTGGTAAGTATCATTACACTCGGTTAAGTGTTTTAGGTTTGAATTGTTAGCAAGATTATGTCCAAATAGTACTGGTAAGTATCATTACACTCGGTTAAGTGTTTTAGGTTTGAATTGTTAGCAAGATTATGTCCAAATAGTTCTGGTAAGTATCATTACACTTGGTTAAGTGTGACCCTTTTTTAGAATGGAGGAAGGGGTAATTTTCAATTTTCATTCAAGACATCCTCTGGGCCCTTTTTTAGCTCTGCTGTCGACTTTGCTTTGATACTTGGTGTATGGGCAGACCTCTCTCAGATTTGTTCATTTCATAATGATATCTTCAATTCTCTAATTTTGATGAATATTTTTGTAATTTTTGGTAAAAAGTGATATTTTCGACTTCTTGTTAAAATCTGCAAGTCCTGATTGCTTTGATATTATACATATTGGTTACAGGTCATCTTTTCTGAGGTGCTCCTCAAGTATGTAAGTTCCTGATTGGGGAAGTATGGTAAATAACCAAGCTTGGATTGAGTTGTTTACTTAAATAATGGGAATATTGTACAAATCCTCTTTTTACATGTAAGCCTAAGCACACCTTTTTATTTTCTGAATACACTTTCTGTTTGATTTTCTACAGGTGCTGAAATCCGCAGTGTATGTACAGAGTCTGGTATGTTTGCAATTAGAGCCAGAAGAAAAGTTGCTACAGAAAAAGATTTCTTAGAAGCTGTTAATAAAGTGATCAAGTCATATGCTAAGTTCAGTGCCACTCCACGATATATGACCTACAACTAAAACACAATTTCTGTAAACCTTATATTTTCCACCAGCAAAATTTTCATGGTTAGATGAATTGAAAGTCTGTGACTTAACATCTTAAAAATTCCCACGCTGCCATTAAACTTTGTCTCATGAAATTAAGGCAGTTTACAGTCTTTTGTTCTAGATGAACACGTCTATGAATTCTCTGTACTGAATAGCATGGGTATTTTCAGCCCATGTGTGAAGCTGTAAATGAAAACATGTTTGTTTGTAACTTTAGATTTCAATAAATTATATCTCGGAATTGTTCATTTGCTTTTTATCACCCATGTAGTTTTAGCAAGCCTCCTAGAGATGTAGCGCCCTCTACATAAAGGTATTTCAATAGAATTAAATCTTGCATTCATACCCATAGACCAACCACTAGATGAAACCCCATAGACAAACCACAAGACGAAACCCCATAGACAAACCACTAGATGAAACCCCATAGACAAACCACTAAATGAAACCCCATAGACAAACCACTAAATGAAACCCCATAGACAAACCACTAAATGGAACCCCATAGACAAACCACTAAATGAAACCCCATAGACAAACCACAAGACGAAACCCCATAGACAAACCACTAGATGAAACCGCATAGACAAACCACTAGATGAAACCCCATAGACAAACCACTAAATGAAACCCCATAGACAAACCACTAAATGAAACCCCATAGACAAACCACTAAATGGAACCCCATAGACAAACCACTAAATGAAACCCCATAGACAAACCACTAGATGAAACCCCATAGACAAACCACAAGATGAAACCCCAAAGACAAACCACTAGATGAAACCCCATTGACAAACCACTAGGTGAAACCGCATAGACAAACCACCAGATAAAACCCCATACACAAACCACTAAATGGAACCCCATACACAAACCACTAAATTAAACCGCATAGAAAAACCACAAGATGAAACCCCATAGACAAACCACTAGATGAAACCCCATAGTGAAACCGCATAGACAAACCACTAGATAAAACCCCATACACAAACCACTAAATGGAACCCCATACACAAACCACTAAATGAAACCGCATAGAAAAACCACTAGATGAAACCCAATAGACAAACCACTGGATGAAACCGCATAGACAAACCACTAAATGGAACCCCATAGAAAAACCACTAAATGGAACCCCATAGACAAACCACTAGATGAAACCCAATAGACAAACCACTAAATGAAACCCCATAGACAAACCACTAAATGGAACCCCATAGACAAACCACTAAATGAACCCCATAGACAAACCACTAAATGAAACCCCATAGACAAACCACTAGATGAAACCCCATAGACAAACCACAAGACGAAACCCCATAGACAAACTACTAAATGAAACCCCATAGACAAAGCACTAGATGAAACCCCATAGATAAACCACTAGGTGAAACCGTATAGACAAACCACTAGATAAAACCCCATACACAAACCACTAAATGGAACCCCATGCACAAACCACTAAATGAAACCGCATAGAAAAACCACTAGATGAAACCCAATAGACAAACCACTAAATGAAACCCCATAGACAAACCACTAAATGAAACCCCATAGACAAACCACTAAATGAAACCCCATAGACAAACCACTAGATGAAACCCCATAGACAAACCACTAAATGAAACCCCATAGACAAACCACTAAATGAAACCCCATAGACAAACCACTAAATGAAACCCCATAGACAAACCACTAAATGGAACCCCATAGACAAACCACTAAATGGAACCCCATTAATAGACAAAACCACTAAATGAAACTCCATAGACAAACCACTAGATGAAACCCCATAGACAAACCACTAGATGAAACCCAATAGACAAACCACTAGACGAAACCCAATAGACAAACCACTAAATGAAACCCCATAGACAAACCACTAAATGGAACCCCATAGACAAAACCACTAGATGAAACCCCATAGACCAACCACTAGATGAAACCCCATAAACAAACCATTCGATGAAACCCCATAGAAAACCACTAGATGAAACCCTATAGACAAAACCACTAGATGAAACCCAATAGACAAACCACTAGATGAAACCGCATAGACAAACCACTAGATGAAACCCCATAGACAAACCACAAGACGAAACCCCATAGACAAAACCACTAGATGAAACCCAATAGACAAACCACAAGACGAAACCCCATAGACAAACCACTAGATGAAACCCCATAGACAAACCACAAGACGAAAACCCATAGACAAACCACTAGATGAAACCCAATAGACAAACCACTAGATAAAACCCCATGGACAAACCACTAGATGAAACCGCATAGACAAACCACTAGATGAAACCCCATAGACAAACCACTAGATGAAACCCCATAGACAAACCACAAGACGAAACCCCATAGACAAACCACTAGATGAAACCCAATAGACAAACCACTAGATGAAACCC